ATTGGAGTGACGGATACGAGAGAAAGGTTGCCTGATTGGAGTGACGGATACGAGAGAAAAGTTTCCTGCTTGGAGTGACGGATACGAGAGAAAGGTTGCCTGATTGGAGTGACGGATACGAGAGAAAGGTTGCCTGATTGGAGTGACGGATACGAGAGAAAAGTTTCCTGATTGGAGTGACGGATACGAGAGAAAGGTTGCCTGATTGGAGTGACGGATACGAGAGAAAAGTTTCCTGATTGGAGTGATGGATACGAGAGAAAAGTTTCCTGATTGGAGTGATGGATACGAGAGAAAAGTTTCCTGATTGGAGTGACGGATACGAGAGAAAGGTTGCCTGATTGGAGTGACGGATACGAGAGAAAGGTTGCCTGATTGGAGTGACGGATACGAGAGAAAAGTTTCCTGATTGGAGTGATGGATACGAGAGAAAAGTTTCCTGATTGGAGTGACGGATACGAGAGAAAGGTTGCCTGATTGGAGTGAAGGATGAACTTGTGATTGCTGAAGAACAGAACGAGAACAGAGAACACATGGCAGTGGCAGAAGAGGGATGATTCTGATTTGTATCATCGAGCGGGATTGTGACTCTTAATGGCGCCTTGAGTCAGATGCAATATCTTAGCGTATATGGAACGTATGCACTGAAAGATAACTGATAGTTATTGTTCAATTGTGTGCCAGCTGTGGGAGTGTTTGTGAGGGAGTCTGAATACGATAAGTGAGAACCCTAGACAACGACTGGATGACATCTTGGCTGTACAACAATAAACAGTAGTTACAGAACACTGGGGTGTTATCAATATATCTGTCCATCTGTTGGTACTAACTTTCCATCAGGACAGATGAGAGACTGATTTAGAATCGACAGCCTTCCACAGCTCCGGTCCGGACGGTGAGGGTAAATCGATGTTTTACTGTACACAAGGAAATTAGAGATTGACGATGAGGACGATAACGATGTTGATACCGATGATGACACGCATGATGATAACGTTGATGAAGAGGATGATGATAACGTTGATGATGATGACGTTGATGATGACGATGATAATGATGATGATGATGACGATGATGATGACGAAGTTTATGACGGTGATGACGTTAATCATGATGATGACGTTAATGATGATGATGATGACGTTAATCATGATGTGACGTTAATGATGATGATGAACGATGACGTTAATGATGATGATGACGTTGATGATGATGATGACGTTGATGATGATGATGACGTTGATGATGATGACGTTGATGACGTTGATGATGATGACGCTTACGATGATGATGATGACGTTAATGATGATGATGATCACGTTAATGATGATGATGATAATGATGATGACGTTAATGATGATGATGATGACGATGATGATGATGAAGTTAATGATGATGATGATGGCGATGATGATGATGTTAATGATGATGATGACGTTGATGATAATAATGGCGATGATGATGACGTTGATGATGATAATGCGATGATGATGACGTTTATGATGATGATGGCGATGATGATGACGTTAATTATGATGATGATGATGGCGATTATGATGACGTTGATGATGATAATAGCGATGATGATGACGATGAAGACGATGATGATGACGATGATGATGATGCAGATGATGATAAAGATGATGATGACGATGATGATGATGATGACGATGTGACGGTGATGATGATGCAGATGATGATAAAGATGATGATGACGATGATGATGATGACGATGTGACGGTGACGATGATGATGATGATGATGATGCTAACGTTGATGATGATGATGATGTTGTTGATGATGATGACGTTGATTACGACGATGACGATGATGATAACGTTGATGATGATGATGATGATGATGAAACCACCAACCTTCGCACCTTGTTCCTAAACGGGTTTTTCCACATTCTAAGCACAGACCAGTCAACTTGTCGCATAGGTTGTTTTCACACAAGTTGGAACAGACTCGATCACAGTTATCTCCATAGTACCCAGGTATACAATCTGAAAGTGAAAGGTTTTAAGACATTCAACACATCTATGCACGAATCAGTCAACCGGTAACCTTGCCAACCAACCATGCAACCAAATAAACAACCAACCAACCAACCAACCAACAAGCATCCAACAAACTACTGTGACATAAGCTAACATGTAAACTCACACGTGCCCACTCATACAGGCATTCACAATATACGCGCGTGCATTCACATAGACCACTACGAGAGATATTCAGAAAAGAATCCCTCACATAAATTTTTCGTAAAGTGTATGCCAAAAAGGAATGAAAATGACCCTCAATATTACTTGATTTCCTGTACTCGTGCAAATTTTCTATATGACCTTTGCATACTGCTACGAAACAAGTGCACGTACATTGATTATAAAACTTATTAACAACATAAACAAGATCATCCCCCGTGTAGGTTCCGGGGTCCCATTGTGGGGAAAACAAGAAAAGACCAACTGCCTCCCCAAAAGCATGTCGTAAGAGTTGACTAATTGGGGAGCTTCTTTTAAAGTCGGAGTGCATCTGCCAGAGAGGCAAGGAACCAACAGTCTATATTCAAGAGAATGAGATCTGTAAAACTGATGCACACGCAACACTCAGGTTCTGGAGCAGGACTGCAGTTCAGTAGTGGACGAGCAACCAGAAGTTTCCGCCAGAGTGTACAGCTGGTGAACGCGAAGAAGAAGATCAACAACATCCTCGGGTCTGCCTCTCCAAGTTCTAAGGCTATGACTCTCTGAAGCCAGGTACCAACGGTGTTACCATCGACTTCAAAACTTCCACACATAGCAAACTCAAACTTTACAATTCGCTGCCTATAAAGGACATTACCCACGCCATGTGTTTTAACGGACTAATATTGACGTTGTTTCTGTGGGGATGAGCTGCTGTCTCGTACATACAGCATTGTCCTGCAAATTTGAAGCGTGCGATATTTAATGTTTGTGACTTCTTTGGTCATGCGACTAGAAGAGAAGCACTGGAAAATATCCTAACGACTGAAACGATAACTGGTAGGTGAGGCAGAATAGGGTTGGGGATCACTGGCAGAAAAGGCAGAATAGGGTTGGGGATCACTGGTAGATGAGGCAGAATAGGGTTGGGAATCACTGGTAGATGAGGCAGAATAGGTTTGGGGATCACTGGTAGATGAGGCAGAATAGGTTTGGGGATCACTGGTAAGTGAGGCAGAATAGGGTTGGGGATCACTGGTAGAAGAGGCAGAATAGGGTTGGGGATCACTGGGAGATGAGGCAGAATAAGCTTGGGGATCACTGGTAGATGAGGCAGAATAAGGTTGGGGATCACTGGTAGATGAGGTAGAATAGGGTTGGGGATCACTGGTAGGCGAGGCAGAATAGGGTTGGGGATCACTGGTAGATGAGGCAGAATAGGCTTGGGGATCACTGGTAGGTGAGGCAGAATAGGGTTGGGGATCACTGGTAGAGGAGGCAGAATAGGGTTGGGGATCACTGGGAGATGAGGCAGAATAAGCTTGGGGATCACTGGTAGATGAGGCAGAATAAGTTTGGGGATCACTGGTAGGTAAGGCAGAATAGGGTTGGGGATCACTGGTAGGTGAGGCAGAATAAGCTTGGGGATCACTGGTAGGTGAGGCAGAATAGGGTTGGGGATCACTGGTAGGTGAGGCAGAATAAGCTTGGGGATCACTGGTAGGTGAGGCAGAATAAAATTGAGGATCACTGGTAGATGAGGCAGAATAAGCTTGGGGATCACTGGTAGATGAGGCAGAATAAGCTTGGGGATCACTGGTAGATGAGACAGAATAAGGTTGGGGATCACTGGTAGGTGAGGCAGAATAGGGTTGGGGATCACTGGTAGGTGAGGCAGAATAGGGTTGGGGATCACTGGTAGATGAGGCAGAATAAGTTTGGGGATCACTGGTAGATGAGGCAGAATAAGCCTGGGGATCACTAGTAGATGAGGCAGAATAGGGTTGGGGATCACTGGTAGATGAGGCAGAATAAGCCTGGGGATCACTGGTAGATGAGGCAGAATAGGGTTGGGGATCACTGGTAGATGAGGCAGAATAGGGTTGGGGATCACTGGTAGGTGAGGCAGAATAAGCTTGGGGATCACTGGTAGGTGAGGCAGAATAAAATTGAGGATCACTGGTAGATGAGGCAGAATAAGCTTGGGGATCACTGGTAGATGAGGCAGAATAAGCTTGGGGATCACTGGTAGATGAGACAGAATAAGGTTGGGGATCACTGGTAGGTGAGGCAGAATAGGGTTGGGGATCACTGGTAGGTGAGGCAGAATAGGGTTGGGGATCACTGGTAGATGAGGCAGAATAAGTTTGGGGATCACTGGTAGATGAGGCAGAATAAGCCTGGGGATCACTAGTAGATGAGGCAGAATAGGGTTGGGGATCAATGGTAGATGAGGCAGAATAAGCCTGGGGATCACTGGTAGATGAGGCAGAATAGGGTTGGGGATCACTGGTAGATGAGGCAGAATAAGCTTGGGGATCACTGGCAGGTGAGGCAGAATAGGGTTGGGGATCACTGGTAGGTGAGGCAGAATAGGGTTGGGGATCACTGGTAGGTGAGGCAGAATAAGCTTGGGGATCATTGGTAGGTGAGGCAGAGACAGACCAGTAGAAATGAAGGTGTGTGGCTTAAGACAGTGACGTGGAGGAATATCATCTATGGAATTGACACATAACACCAATACCGAGATCTGTGAAGACGCATTGACACATTCGCCGCTAGCAAGGTGATGATGATCATATCTTCATTATTCTCTAAAATAACACACACAGAAACACGTTGGACACTCTCGTTTTGAACGTCCCTCTGACTTCGTCAGCTTTATCTCAGAGGTAACTATCATAACCTGACCATTCACATTCCTGAGAAGATGTACAAGCGGTCAACCACAACAGGATGTACGTATTCAATAGCAGAGAACCCGAGGCGTCCTACCGGTACAGTATGGCTCTTGGAAGCGTGCGCGGCACTCACAGTGTCCATGGATGGGGTCGCAATCGCTGACACAGTTTCTCGAACAGTTGAACATACACTGCCGCCCGTAGCGGTCAGGGGCACAGTCTGTGAACCAGAAAACACACATACATCATTCATCTCTACAGGTTTATACATTTGGTTAACAAACATCGTCATGTAGCACGTCCTTTGCAGAACGTCGCTCTCATGAGGCGCTGACAGAAATGTGGTCTCCCGCCAGCCTGGCACAATTACATGCAAGAAGTCACATATATCATGCGCCCATCTTCGTGTTAGTCGGACCCTGCCTCTCCTTCCTGGTACCATGACTTCTGCTTTTATTTTTTTTCCTATTCACCAAGACGCTTGATGTGACCACGGTAGTCTGATAATCTCTCTACAGCATTTCAGCTCAAATGCCTCTATGTTCTTTTGTTAATGACTGAGAGATAGTCCGCGACTCACATCTGCATGTTGACATGGGGAAGATGAGAGATTGTCCACGACTAACATCTGCATGTTGACATAGGGAAGATGGGAGATAGTCCACGACTCACATCTACATGTTGACATAGGGAAGATGGGAGATAGTCCACGACACACATCTGCATGTTGACATAGGGAAGATAGGAGATAGTCCACGACTAACATCTGCATGTTGACACAGGGAAGATGAGAGATAGTCCGCGACTCACATCTGCATATTGACATAGGGAAGATGGGAGATAGTCCACGACTCACATCTGCATGTTGACACAGCGAAGATGGGAGATAGTCCACGACTCACATCTGCATGGTGACATAGGGAAGATGGGAGATAGTCCGCGACTCACATCTGCATGTTGACATAGGGAAGATGGGAGATAGTCCACGACACACATCTGCATGTTGACATAGGGAAGATGAGAGATTGTCCACGACTAACATCTGCATGTTGACATAGGGAAGATGGGAGATAGTCCACGACACACATCTGCATGTTGACATAGGGAAGATGGGAGATAGTCCACGACTCACATCTGCATGATGACATAGGGAAGATGGGAGATAGTCCACGACTCACATCTGCATGTTGACATAGGGAAGATGGGAGATAGTCCACGACACACATCTGCATGTTGACATAGGGAAGATGGGAGATAGTCCACGACTCACATCTGCATGTTGACATAGGGAAGATGGGAGATAGTCCACGACACACATCTGCATGTTGACATAGGGAAGATGGGAGATAGTCCACGACTCACATCTGCATGATGACATAGGGAAGATGGGAGTCAGTCCACGACCAACATCTGCATGTTGACACAGGGAAGATGAGAGATAGTCCGCGACTCACATCTGCATATTGATATAGGGAAGATGGGAGATAGTCCACGACTCACATCTGCATGTTGACACAGCGAAGATGGGAGATAGTCCACGACTCACATCTGCATGGTGACATAGGGAAGATGGGAGATAGTCCACGACTCACATCTGCATGGTGACATAGGGAAGATGGGAGATAGTCCGCGACTCACATCTGCATGTTGACATAGGTTGAAAGATACGGTTAGTCTACTATATATCTATCTAATTCTGAAATGCTGACTATCCGCCCTGACATGAAACAAGGGTTATTGTTAATGCCTGAAATCACTAAAGTTACCTGACTGTGGCTTAAGGACTACTGTATTTTTCACTCCAACTAGGGAAGCACAATATGAATATCATCTTTTAGGTCTACACAGGTGTCCTTTATCCTTATTTTCTTTAAATCAAAATATACTCTAGCACAACGTTTCAGCGAAAAGTCCCTCTTCAGTTTTAGTAGTGCTATGGCCATCCTCCTTTTGATTTATTTCCAACTGTATCCTTTGCCATTTATTTTAGAGCCTAGATATTTAAAATTTGTGACATTATCACTTTTTCATTATATGATTTTTTTTTTTTTTTACTGCCAGTTTTGTCTGTGGACATTATTTTTGTTTTATTTAAATTTCAGAATATGTTTTGGTCTTTACTTTTTTTTTTTTCTTTTTTTTTTTTTTTTACACACTTGATTAAATGTTCTAATCGATTTACACTGTTAAAAAGGACTGTGTCCCCTGCATAGGGGAGTTCCGGAATAAGATTGCCACCAATTATGAACGGTTTTGTGTAATGGAAAGTGAAATTATGGGTCTTAATTTTAAACAGCAGAGAAACAGAAATAATAATAATAATTACAAAGAAAACTGGCTCAACATCAAAATAAACTCGACAAACCTCAAGCAAGTTGATATGTATAATTATTTTGGCATCCTGATAATATCAGATTGGAATTTATCAAATAAGTAAAACTTGAATAGCTCAAGCAAAAGCAGCATTTTGCACAGTTATGAATATGTTATGCAATTCTTCTTTGTCAATTGAGATGAGAAAGAGAATTCGTTGAAGCTATCATTATACGCGGATGGGAATCATGGACAGTTGGTATATTATTGAAAACTTAATTAGAAGCTGCAGTGATGTGGTTGTATAGACGAATGATGCGAATATCCTCGACAGATGAAAAGAATAATTGAAATTTCTCGAAAAAACTGACTCACAAAGAGAACAGATTGCCCACATCAGAAAGACGCTATCTACATTCTTTGGTCATGTGATGAGAAGAAGTACATTGGGGTACATCGACAGTAGGAAAGTTGTAGGGGAGGAAAGGCGGTAGAAACCGAGAGAAAAGATGCTGGCCAGTTTGACATTATGGCATCTATATCAGAGTTGCTTGAAAGTACACGAGATAGAGGGTTGTGGATAAACATGACTACCAGCGCCACACGGCATGGTTTTTGAGAAGAAGAGGAATTGTCATAACTGTCATAAGTCTGGTTAGATTTCTTAAAACCCGCAATCAAAAATATCCTGTCCCAAGTCCTCAAGCTAAGTGGGTAAATGGCGCTTTCTTCTACCCTCTTTTCGTCACACAGAACAAAGTCCCTCAACCAGCTCCCGCCAAGTCATTATACCACTTACCGCATCCCACCCCTTGACCTGTCTTATCTTTTTAGCTTCACTCTCTAGATTACCTCTCCCACTGCATTTGTGGTCTGTCTTTATTTATTGACCTTGGAATTCCAGTTGAAAAGCATTCTAGTTATATTTTTTTTAGGTTTTAGTTACGAATTAGGGCTATCCAACACCAGCGTCTTTCCTTCACCTCTTGGTCAACTGGAACTTGTATAGTTCTCGCCCAAAGCATTACAAAATGTATTCTGTCATATAATTTCATTCTTTCTAGTCTGCACAGGCACCAGTTAATAAATTCATATAGTGTATTAGTTACTGGTTAAGTTGCTCTCTATTTTCCCGCTCTTAACAGCAATGGGGGAGGAAAAAGGGGGTGGGGGGAGGGGAGTGCAATCTTAATTATGTATTAGTGTCAATGTTCGTTGACATCCAAAAATGTCCTAGAGCTATGAAACCCCACATGTTTTTTGTGTTCGTATTCTAATAGCTCTCTCTATCAGTTCCCCACATCTTGATCTACTGCACAAATACATAAAAGACTCACCAGTAGAGTCTGTGCTAATATTCAGAGACATTAGATTAATGTTTGCCTGATGTTTTTAAAAAGTACTTTACTGTGTTTTATACAATGTTGTACAGCGCCCATTTCCATACAAGATTGTATACCACCAACTTTTAAACAATGTTGGACAGCACCTACTTCCATACAAGGTTGTATACCACCATCTTTTAAACAATGTTGCACAGCACCTACTTCCATACAAGGTTGTATACCACCAACTTTTGAACAATGTTGTACAGCACCTACTTCCATACAAGATTGTATACCACCATCTTTTAAACAATGTTGCACAGCACCTACTTCCATACAAGGTTGTATACCACCAACTTTTGAACAATGTTGTACAGCACCTACTTCCATACAAGGTTGTATACCACCAACTTTTGTACAATGTTGTACAGCACTTACTTCCATACAAGGTTGTATACCACCAACTTTTGTACAATGTTGCACAGCACCTACTTCCATACAAGGTTGTATACCACCATCTTTTGTACAATGTTGCACAGCACCTACTTCCATACGAGGTTGTATACCACCATCTTTTGTACAATGTTGTACAGCACACACTTCTAAACAATCCTGTATAGCACCCACTTTCATGCCATGTTCTATAGCACCCACTTTCATACCATGTTCTATAGCACCCACTTTCATACCATGTTCTATAGCACCCACTTTCATACCATGTTCTATAGCACCCACTTTCATACCATGTTCTATAGCACCCACTTTCATACCACTTTCTATAGCACCCACTTTCATACCACTTTCTATAGCACCCACTTTCATACCATGTTCTATAGCACCCACTTTCATACCACTTTCTATAACACCCACTTTTATACTATGTTCAATAGCACCCACTTTCATACCACTTTCTATAGCACCCACTTTCATACCATGTTCTATAGCACCCACTTTCATACCATGTTCTATAGCACCCACTTTCATACCATGTTCTATAGCACCCACTTTTATATTATGTGATGAGAATGATGAGAATCGGAATTATGGATAAACACAAACAAGGAGATACAGAAATAAGGATAAACACAAACAAGGAGATATAGAAATAAGGAGAAACACAAATAAGGCGATCAGACAATAAAAACGCAGAGGACAAAATGAATAGACAGCCACAGAATAATCCCTGAAGAAGTACACAAGTTGATTAAATGAAAGAACACAGACGATATTTTTTTCTTTTTAAGTGAAATTGTCCCAGAAGACAGGCAACGGACAGACAGCCATTTAGGTGCTTTCTCAATATCCTGACTCAAACAGGGGAAATCCACAGATTACGGGACAGTCTAATATTTCAGCTGGTGGTAGATAGGCTGCATGCAGTCGTGGGACCTAGGCTGCACCTAGATGGGTTGGGGTTAGGGCCAGTTGTAGATGTTTTGGGTCGTTAAAGCCGCAAAACCAAATCTTACCCCCTCTAAAAGGTTGGACTGTCCTAAGACGTCATCTGGGGTAGAATATTACGAAAGAACCGCCATTTTTATTTATAACTGACATCGTAGAGAAGGCCGTTACAGAAATAAAAGATATCACATACAAATTTAGAAACTAATCTGTGGAAAGTATTCTTTGTATTACATTTTGTCGTGTCTGTTTCTGAAATCAGGACAGTGGATGGAGACGATGATGGACTGACGTGGACTTTGTAGATGTATGTTTACTGGAAACAACAAGGATCTTTAAGTAAAAAAAAAATTCAAGTAAAATTCAGTTTTAAAAAGTGCGAAATATTTTCTGGTTAATGACAGTTTATGACAAAACGGCACAACAGACAGGTACCAGACATAAATCAGGGGGCATAGGGAAGAAATCAAGGAGCAGATGAAGATAAACGTGGATAAGATAAGATGATATGACAATGCTCACGACATGCCTTACACATACCACTGCAGCGGGGACCCGAAGTCCCCGGCAAACAATGGAGACAGTGGCCAGTATCTTGTTCACATGTGTGGTCCACACAGTTTTGGGGACATGATTGGTTACAGTGGGTTCCATACAGACCATCATGGCACTCTGTACAGACAGATACCAGTTTATGTAACTGATAACGTGGTGTTTTTGTTTATACTAAACATCATGCACAAGTCAATATAATGGGTAATGTTTATGTTTATACTAAACATCATGCACTAGTCAATGACATGGGTAATGTTTATGTCTATACTCAAGAACATGCACTAGTCAATATAATGGGTAATGTTTATGTTTATACTGAACATCATGCACAAGTCAATGACATGGGTAATGTTTATGTTTATACTGAACAACATGCACAAGTCAATGACATTGATAATGTTTATGTTTATACTCAATAACATGCACTAGTCAATATAATGGGTAATGTTTGTGTTTATACTGAACAACATGCGCAGGTCAATAACATGGGTAATCTTTATGTCTATACTAAAAATCTTGCAAAAGTAACTAAAATAGGTAATGTTTGTGTTTATACTGAACAACATGCACTAGTCAATGACATGGGTAATCTTTATGTTTATACTGAACAACATGCACTAGTCAATGACATGGGTAATCTTTATGTCTATACTAAAAATCTTGCAAAAGTAACTAAAATAGGTAATCTTTATGTTTATACTGAACAACATGCACTAGTCAATGACATGGGTAATCTTTATGTTTATACTGAACAACATGCACTAGTCAATGATATGGGTAAATCTGTCTATGGATGTGTCAGTGTGCGTGGTTTGTATATTTGTGTCTCTGTGTGTGTGTTTGTGTTTGTGTATAAGTGTGTGTGTGTGTGTGTGTGTGTGTGTGTGTGGGTGCTGGGTTCTGAAATCTGAACAAATAATAATGTAAGCAGTGTCTGTCACATAGCCTGGATGGGCAGTTATTATCGCAAATGTCTTTTCCAGGCCATGCCTTTGATTCAAACAATTCGAAACTCTACTAATGTTCAACAAAGAAAAAAAATAAAAGAAGAAATGCATTTTTTTCTCTCCTTTTATCTTCTTTACTTCCTCTTTTTCCATTCCGTTCAGGTGTCAATGAAGATAGAGGGTGCAGGTTCGAGCCATTTTGGTCTTCTCGCTGATAGAGACATGGTATTGATGAAGAAATTTAACAGCCAGGGGCTGCTGTGGTTGGTTCTGCAACGTCCTGTAAAGGATACGCAACTAACCTTTTTGGCATCACACGATATTGTCATTGAGCCATTGAGAGGTGGTTTAAGGGGGTGGGGGGGGGGGAAGGGGTGGGGGGGGGGAAGGGGGTGGTGAATGGCTGGGTGCTGCCAAGATCTCAAGAAGTAAAAAACAAAACAAAAAGTAACAAACACTTTGTCAAGCCTTTATGCGTGCTGGGTATGTAGGGCTAGACCTAATTGTCCCATAGACCAATCAGCACTCGGGGGATGATGTCGTCAACATCACGCCGGCTGCATTTACTTTCCAGGACTTTACCTGGTGCTCACTGAAGAACCAATGTCATTTTTTTACCGTCAGGACCCCAACTCACAACTTTCCGATACGCAGGTGCGAGTCTAGGCCAATGGTCTCTAACCTTCAGGTAGTGCCTCCTTGATTACACGGTCAGACCCCACATCCACGCCCCCCCCCCCCCTCCTAACTTAACATAACAAATTGTGATTTAAACAGAAGAGGATAATAGATCTAGCAACAACAGAAACACACAGGATGGATATATGTTTTAATCAGAATGTGTATTAATGTACAATCACATGCCCGTGTTATCCTATTTATTCGATTTTTAACTCTAGATAGACAGTTTATTACGAAAAAAAAAAAAGGAAAAAATTACTTAGCTTTTTGTTTTATAAAAAGCATTACAAATATTTCGTTTATTTAATAGGTTAAATTAAATATTATACAGGATAATAGCAAATACTAATTAATGCACTCAGTTTCAAAATTGGTTGATGCCTCCTCACCCGCACTGGAAGCTTCTGACGCCCCAAGATCGGAGACCACTTTTCGGCTATCTTCCGAATGACGGTCCAATTATCGAGTCGGAAAATATACACTAACAGAGCCTCAATCAGGTGTCAATTGCGCACTTCCGGGGACTATACAGCCACCCCTTGAATTGCGTTCTTCCGGGTCTATACCGCCACTGCCGAGGGTATCCCGACGCCGTTCATGCTGCGTGGATTGGGTCTAAACTAGATGGCTTGGACTCACGAGCAAATATAATAAAGGAAGCTGCACAAGATGCGGTAGCTGCTGCTCGTGAGTCCCAGCCATCTAGTTTAGCCCCTATCCACGCCGCTCACGCGGCGTGCGGGATACTCTCGGCGGTGGCGGAATTCGCCAGAAGTTCGCAATTGACACGTGACTGAGGCTCTGTTAGGGTATTATTTTCTACCTTGATAATTTGGGTCCGTTATTCGGAAGATATCCCACTTTTCTAGCCTCTACATCACAACAGCTCCCGTCTCAAGAAGAAGTGGATTACTGTCATTTAAAAGTCTGTTCCTTAGCTTGGACTAGCATAACTGATATTTCTGATGCACATTCGGTAATAGTAGGTTTGCTTAGTCGGGAGCCAGCGAGTTTTCTAAAATGCTCTAAAGAGAAAAAATGTACCAACCATCACACCAGGGATAGACAAACCCCGGAGCACAGAGACAGGTGCCATCAGTGCTGTTGCAGTTGTTGGTGCAGTGTGGTGAGCACTTGTGACTGCAACTTTCTCCAAACCATCCCTTTGGACACACTGCAAAGGTGGCAACAATAACAAATAGTAACATCCTCACTAACACGAATTCACTCAAAAAGCACATTCAAGCAATACTAATCCAAGCCCGGTCAAATGATGGATGTATTATAACGATTACACAAAGATAGCAAGACATTTGTTAACATGAACTTTTGATTTGGGGGGGGGGGGGGGGGGGGGGGGGGGTCAATATCTCCTGGAATTCAAGTTACCATGGGATCTATTGTACATTGTTTATCATCTGCTAGACATTGTTCACTGGAGAAAGAGGAAGAAGAAGAAGAAGAAGCAGAAGAAGAAGAAGAAGAAGAAGAAGAAGAAGAAGAAGAAGAAGAAGAAGAAGAAGAAGAAGAAGAAGAAGAAGAAGAAGAAGAGAAGAAGAAGAAGAAGAAGAAGAAGAAGAAACAGAAGATTAAGAAGAAGAAGAAGAAGAAGAAGAAGAAGAAGAAGAAGAAGAAGAAGAAGAAGAAGAAGAAGAAGAAGAAGAAGAAGAAGAAGAAGAAGAAGAAGAAGAAGAAAAAGAAGAAGAAGAAGAAGAAGAAGAAGAAGAAGAAGAAGAAGAAGAAGAAGAAGAAGAAGAAGAAGAAGAAGAAGAAGAAGAAGAAGAAGAAGAAGAAGAAGAAGAAACAGGAACAGAAAAAGAAGAAGAAAAAGAAGAAGAAACAGAAAAAAAAGAAGAAACAGAGAAAGAAGAAGAAGAAGAAGAAGAAGAAGAAGAAGAAGAAGAAGAAGAAGAAGAAGAAGAAGAAGAAGAAGAAGAAGAAGAAGAAGAAGAAGAAGAAGAAGAAGAAGAAGAAGAAGAAGAAAAAGAAGAAGAAGAAGAAGAAGAAGAAGAAGAAGAAGAAGAAGAAACAGAAACAGAAAAAAAAAGAAGAAGAAGAAGAAAAAAGAAGAAAAAGAAAAAAAAGAAGAAGAAGAAGAAGAAGAAGAAGAAAAAAGAAGAAAAAGAAAAAAAAAAGAAGAAGAAGAAGAAGAAGAAGAAGAAGAAGAAGAAGAAGAAGAAGAAGAAGAAGAAGAAGAAGAAGAAGAAGAAGAAGAAGAAGAAGAAAAAGAAGAAGAAGAAGAAGAAGAAGAAGAAGAAGAAACAGAAACAGAAAAAAAAGAAGAAGAAGAAGAAAAAAGAAGAAAAAGAAAAAAAAAAAAAGAAGAAGAAGAAGAAGAAGAAGAAGAAAGAAGAAAAAGAAAAAAAAAGAAGAAGAAGAAGAAGAAGAAGAAGAAGAAGAAGAAGAAGAAGAAGAAGAAGAAGAAGAAGAAGAAGAAGAAGAAGAAGAAGAAGAAGAAAAAGAAGAAGAAGAAGAAACAGAAACAGAAAAAGAAGGAGAAGAAAACACGCAGCCGCGGCAGTCTTCCATGCGATCAGGAACACATCCTTGCAAATGGATCATAAAGAGAAGTTAGGCGCTTAACGTCTTGTCTCCAATAATTACACTCAACTAACGAAAGTCGAAGCTTTCACCAGAAAAAAAAAAAAAAATTCACATGATTGTAACAAAAAATAACACACGTTTGCACTCTCTCAAGGACTGAGAGGTACTGACTGATTCAACCGACCCGCGACCCCCCGCCACCCACCCCCCTTCTTCCACCTGCGGTTGCACATGGATCCCGTATCTCGCCAACCCTTGGGTTTCACATTCACCTGTCAGTCACACCTGGGTCCTACAATCCCCGTGGGGATCGCTGTTTGCCGTTAATCTCAAGAAAGCTAGGTATCACAATTTAACCGTGCGGACCTTTTGCACTCGCCTCTGCCTTCATCATCATCATCATCTAGCACCTTTACCACTGGCGTAGGCGATCACGTCTCTGACGCCTGGTTCAAATGAATAGAAAAGTGAATTTAGCACACTAGAACCTGGCAGATTTGAGTGCTCACAAATGGCATTGACTCCTGTGTCCACGCAGCCTTAAGTTGTACCAGGTCATGCGCATATCACCTTTCGAGGACTACTGGTCTTCAGAATTATTCAAACCCATGCGCAGCCGCAGTAAAAGGCGTCTTTAGGTTAACCTTACCTTTGTCACATTTTTCACCCATGAATCCGGCCGGGCAGTTTAGGCAATTACCCGAGCTCAGGTGACAAATGTGGTTAAGGCACAAGAGACTACATTGCTGCAAACAGTTGGTCCCATAGAATCCAGCCTGACATCCCTTGCTACACCGTCCATCTACTGGACTACAGTGTTCACACGATCGGGACAGCAATCCGAAGAAAAACCCCAGGACAAAACTATTTCGGCGAGAAAAAGAGATGCCCGGGTTTGTAGTCCATTTGAGGGGGATTTACAAGTCGGGGTTTAATGGGGGTTGGTGTGTATGGTGGGATATCAGAGGACGATATGCTCACGGTTTAGAGTAAGTATATTTGAATGGGTGGTGATTTGTTCACGTGTTTTTGGTGTTGTGGTGTGTGTGTGTGTTTGGTGGTTTATCTGGTTGAGGGGGGGGAATATATTGAAAAAAGGAAAGGGATTCGTTACGTGGGTTTCAGGT